CTTGGCTTCAGCCTGCTTACCTCCCTGATCTTCAAAAGCTCACTCGCTTTCTCTCTTTCTCACACACACATATACTCACAGGTTGAGAGCAGAGAAAAACAACAAGTGTTGCATTAATCAAACAGCCTCTTCTTTCCAAGGGAATTGTAGCACTTTAGAGGAGCTGCCTGGTCTGCTGCTTTAGTAGCACTAGATCATCCAGCCAAACATTTCACCCTCTCTTTTGATGACATTTCTTCAGCAGAAGTTACAGCAATTATAATTCAGATGCTTCACTTTTGGATGCATCACGCTCAGAGCTATACAGCGGTCTTAAAATGTTTTTGGACACTTAAGCCACACTTAAAAATGTATGAATGCTATTGCATTAGAGAAGAAAATAGCATTTATTTTACACCATAAGTGGCATTTATTTTACACCATGATAGCACAAGCACACTTTTCACAAATATAAGTTTTGGAGTTTAAAATGATGAAACAATAGATACACTGTCCTGAGTTTAGACCAAGTGGAATCCAGAAACAGACATTTCTCAGACATTTTCAGTTAAATTCAAACATTTTTAAGTGTTGTCCAAAAACAAATTTTAGGGCCTTTGGACAGTATATTCAAGATACTTCCCACATACTGCCAAGGGGAAATGATCAAAGTAGCACTGTGGATGGGTTACATTTTATATTTGCAAAATGAAAGTTTACTTTATGGTTAAATTGTTGTCACACTTTTCCTGCATTTATTTAATTTTTCACAAATTCATTTGGAATATAATGAGAAAAATTATGAAAAAAAAATACACATGACCTCTCTGAACTAAATACGTGGATGCTATTAGCTTTGGAAAATGAAGGATCTTTTGAGATTCTGAATGAGCTCATGTGCAGATTAAAGGACGAAGCTGATTATTCTCTCAGCTAACCTGTTGAGACTGAATCACAGTAAGTTGTTCTGAATAAAGGCTTTCTGCATTTCCATATTAATCTGTCACGTTTAGGCCTCTGAGACACATGGCCTCCTGTCATGGTGCTATGATAACAGAGCAGTTGGTATTTCCCTGCAACATATAAATATGTATAATTCTGATAAGTATAATTGAATGGCTTATGTACACAGAGAGTGAGACAGAAATCTCACAGGCTGGACCCGCAGTCTGTCTCACACCCCAGAAGATGGCCATGCACTCCTTCAACTCCCTCAAATTGAAAAGTGGTGCATTAAGAAGGTCTCTGAGTGGATAAAAGCAACATCGGTTATCTTGTGCTCACTATTGATAAGTAAGGTACAGAGACCTTTGACCTACAAGCTTCACCCCAATTCCACAAGCTTTTTCCAAGCTTGAGATGGCCCAGACCCCTGTGAATTTTCAGCTCATATATCTTTACTCATCCTTGTGTTATTGTTTTATGTTTCGCTCTGTAGGTACATTTAGGTTGACCATGGTCTCAGCAAACACTTAGGCTGGCTGGAGTGTGCTGTATTTCTTGTGTAATTAAAAAACACTTTTTGTTCCTATGCCTGTTTACTCAAACATTAGTAAACAGGCATTTGAACAAAAATGTGTTTTTGAATTTAAAAATGCCTTGAATTTAGGGTTTACATTTTTTTTTTAATCACAGGCCTGTCGCTAGTTACTATACAGTAAAGCAGTTTCTTCTACATCTTACCATTAAACACTCAAAATATGCATGTCCCCCTCCAGCCTTTTCTGATTTGTTCATCAGTTTTTACTGATATTAATGTGTAATACTGCATAGCAGAAGTTGAAATATCCATTAGCATTCCCATTCATTTCTTCGACTGGCGCATGACTCACTGGAAGTACACCATTTGAAATACATGCCATGTTACTAAATACTTTGTTTAATTACAAAATTGACCAGCAGGGGCACATAGACAAACGATTTATAAATAGCGTAGATGGAATAAAAGGACTCTTCTTGTAAATAAGTGGACAAAATATATCTGTGCTATATGGTAATGTCTGTTTTTGTTTTTGGTGATATTGAAATCTGATTAGGGTTATTGTAACTCAAGGTCCAAACACTTTCCTCCAGTGTCTTCTGTTCTGTTTCCTTCCTTGTATCTCAGGCTCAATCCCAAAGCAGGGATCACAGCGAGCAGATTAATGATTTAAACATAACAGTACCGACATGTTCCCAGGCTCACCAAGAAACCAAAAGAGAGAGAGAATGAATGTGGTGCAACAGGAAGTCTTTCAGAATGACATTCACACAGAAGAGCCCAGCGCGTTGAATGAAAGCAGCATCAGGATGAAGATGACACGATAGAATGGGAAACAAAGAGAGAGAGAGAAATAGGAGATGGGATTAGAATTATAATTATAATTAATTAGTGTTAAGGTCAGCATATGACAAATTGTGGTTTTATAAAAAAGCGGGAATGAAAGCAAGATGGGCAAACAGACGTAGCAACTACCTATGGCACTTCTCAGATTGGTTGAGGGAGAACGAAAGAGGATTGTGCATGACAGATTTTGACTGGCATCTCTAATTAAAAGGTGCTGTCAGGGGCCACAGTGTGCGGGGAGAGAGGGGCCCCATCAGCCCCTGAGACTCATCCCCGGAAATGATTGATGAGCAATTGCAAGATAAATAAGATGCCCCATGAGCTGAGCTGAAAACTGATGTATGCAGTATTATAAATAAATCTGCACCAGAAAGAAATGATAAAATAATTTTTGGGTACGTGGGGAGTATGAGTGTGTGTGTGTATGTGTGTGTGTGTGTGTGTGTGTGCGTGTTTTTGTGACAAATGAGGACATAAATTTGTATAATGACAAAGGTATGACATAGGTATTACAAGGAGAAGGTGACTTTTCAGGACATTACCCCATGTCCCCAGTTTTCAAAACGCTTATAAATCACACAGAATGGAGTGTATTGAAATTCTGAAATAGCAGAAAGTTTCCTTTCTGCTATTTAGTAGTAGGTTTAGGGGTAGGGTTGGTGTAGGGCAATAGCACATACAGTTTGTACAGTATAAAAACCATTATGCCTATGGGATGTCCCCACTTTTCACAAAAACAAACCTGTGTGTGTGTAAGTGTATGTGTGTATGTGTGTGTGTGTGTGTGTGTGTGAGAGAGAGATAGAAGTATAATATGTTTGCTGCTGGGCTGGGCTAAAGTGATGGCTGGCTAACAGACGCTAACAGCAGCTGGTTTCATGGCTGAGACTTTGCTGAAGCGCCTGAACTCCCACACTCCTAACTTGCATGCAACAAAACTGCAGCCTCCTGGGACCCAGCCAGACTCTGTCATCCATAGATGCACCTTAGTGAACCTGTAGCTTTTTACTAAGCGTGCATGCCCTCGCAGACGTGTGTGTGCGTGAACACACGGCCAAGTGCGAATGTGTGTTCTTGCGATGCCTCCTTGCTCTGCAGTTATTAGTTGTTGGGAAACATGTGTACTGTCATAAAGAGAAGCGAGCTGGGAGCTCTTCAGATGCATACACGGTATCATTATCAACCAGAGGGCAGTGGGATGGTAAAGTGAGAATGAATTATGAATGGAAAGTTGACGATGTTCTTGTGCGTGTTTTCCCCACAGGACATGCTCCACCGCTCATTTGCAACAGCGAAGCGCTGCTGGTCAAAGGTCTATATGAAATATCCGTATATCTTTATCTCTCCCTTGACAAACAAAGCCGAGTTTTAGTATATTTAAAGTTGACATGAATAGAAAATTGACCCTATTTTAACACGTTTTATAAAGGCTACATATGGTACAACTGGAGAATAAAAAAAATGGCTACTGGTAACAGCACTTTCTTAATACACTTTTTTCTGGTCCTAATGTATTAATTGCATTGCTAGATGTTTGCTTGTTTTTTTAAAAACAGAAACACATTTTTGGCTTTCATCTTAATGCAGTAAGGCCTTGCAGACTGTTAATCAATGTTAACCAGGTTATACATGCATTTAATAACAATACACAGTAAGACCAGTAACATATAATAAAAAAGTACTAAAATCTTTAATGTATTCAAAGTTTTGAAATTGCTAGAAAATCGCAATGTAAAGGTGCACTGGGATGCATAAAGATGCTCTAGGGTGCATTTTTAAAAATGCATTTTAAAAAATCATAAAGAAAGGTAATTTAAATGATTAGTAATATCAGTAAAGTAATATTGTGAATTATTAGTACAATTTAAAATAATACTATTTTAATTATATTGTAAAAAATTAATTTATTCCTGTGCTGGTAAAGCTGAATTGTCAGCAGCCTTTACTCCAGTATTCAGTATCATATGATCCTTCTGAAATTATTCTAATATGCTGATTTGTTGATCAAGACACATTTCTTATTATCAATGTTGAAAACAGTTGTGATGCTTAATATTTTTTGTGGAAATTATGACAGTTTTGTTTTTTTAGGATTCTTTGATAAATGAAAGTTTATCAAATGAAATGAAAGTGCAGAAGAGCAGCATTTGTTTAAAATAGAAATGTTTTGTAACATTATAGAAGTCTTCTACTTATATAAGTAGAACTTTTAGTAGAAGTCGCTTTTGATAAATTTATAGCACCTTAATACAATTAAAATAAAAAATCATTAGTGGCTCCAAATTTTCATACGATAGTTTAGAAGTTATGCCTTAAGTATATTCTGAAAAGCATATGATTAGTCTTGTTTAAAAAATGCTAAATATATTGCCGATTCTGCAAGGGATATGTAAATTTATGAAGCAGAACTGTAAGTCACATTACAGAGGTAATATGGGTTTCAAATTCCATTTCATGGCAACTTCAAGCCTTTTTTCAACTCTGCATGGCCATGAACACCTGTACAAGTGTGTGACCCGTATACACCGGTGCACCGCTGCTTCTCTCTCTGCCTTGAGTCAGCCTTCTTTGTACTTCTGCAGAATGAGTTCCACAGCACTAAAATTTCTCTCCCTCTTCCTCCCCACCCAACCCCATCTTCTTTCTTTCTTCCGTCCACCCCTTCTCTTTCCTTTTCCCTCATTTCTGGATCTAGGCCACAGAATGGGTCGATGATCCTCTACAATAGGAAGAAGGTGAAGTACAGAAAGGATGGCTACTGCTGGAAAAAAAGGAAAGATGGGAAGACCACGCGGGAGGATCACATGAAGCTCAAAGTACAAGGAGTGGAGGTGAGGCCATTTGTCTGCACCATAGTGCACACAAACCCATCAACTCTCTTTGAAATCGTTGGGTTGCAAATAATGGGTGCACATAAGAAAAGAAGCCTGTGGTTTTGTGGTTGTTGCACATGCACTGCAAGTCCCCAAGTCGGCTCCAACTTTTTCTAGTCCACATTTGAGAATGAAAAAATACACCTCAGCAGCCCGAGTTTAGTTTTCCCTTGATAGCAAACAAAATGGAAGCAATTGTTTGTACCTTATTAAGCTCGGGATGTTTGCTCTGCTCCAGAGTGCCGGCATTAATCTTCCCCCATGCTGGGAACCACTGCCATCACAGGTAGACTGCAGGGCCCTTTTCTGCTTTTCCGTGCCCTGGCACGGCCCCGCTGTGTATGTGTGTGTGTGTGTGAGCGCTCTTTGATTTATCTCCACTCATACACACATATACTCACTCACCAAACAGCGTGGGTGCTGGATCCAGAGTTTTACTCTTTTGTTTTTTGGTGTTTGAACTGAGTATCTATCATTTTGTGTCCTCTGGATAGTTGAGCATGCTGAGGTCATGTGATGTTGTTCTGCATATACCAACCCAAACTCATATTATACAATCATATAATTGAAAAAAAAAAAAAAACACACACACAGAATATTTGAAACACTTGCCAAGACGTGTATTTATTCTCTGCTTGCTCTCTCTTCATGGAGCTCTCATTAGACAGTGAACAGGCCTCACTTAACCACCAAATCTATGGCAATCATTTTTTGGCAGTGCGTTTTCTGACAGCAGATGTTTTAGAGGAAGTTTGGAGTTTCCACCAATTATCCATTAAATTTACAAGTTTTACCTCTTAAAGGTATAGTTCCCAAAAAATATTCACTCATGTTGTCCAAACCAGTACAATTTAGCATCAAACACAATGTTTAGCAGAATGTTGGCACTTCTGTTTTCCATACAATGTTGGGAACAGATTTTCAAACATAAAAAATGGCAGAACATGCTTTCTATTAATTTAAATTATTAGCTAAATTTACAAGCAATTTCTGAGTGTTTCAAAGTAAATCCTACACCAATGTTTTTATTGAATAGGTTGTTTGCACATGACGTCACTGATGACGTGCGAAATGCAGCTGGAGGGCAGGAAGTGATTTTTCTCCGTAGGAATCACTAGCAGAAACTCAAAATGCCTGTGTTTTGAGTTGTTTATGGATGCTCAAATTGGCCAAACCGAGAAACCACAAGGAGCTTTTATCGTGTACGAAAATGTGTTGTTCATGAGTGGGGAAAAGTCAAGAAATTGCTCCCCCCCCCGACCGCAGACGCAGGACAAGCCACTTTTTCCTGTGTTTTTCAGTCAATTTCTTGACTTTTTCCCCCTCATGAACAACACATTTTCGTACACGATAAAAGCTCCTTGTGGTTTCTCGGTTTGGTCGATTTGAGCATCCATGAACAACTCAAAACACAGGCATTTTCAGTTTTGTTAGAGATTTCTATGGAGAAAAATCACTTCCTGCCCTCCAGCTGCATTTCGCGCGTCATCAGAATCACATGATTGCAAACCACCTATTGCTTATTCACATACTGTACAAGACATGCAACAACCAATGACATTTGGCATTATTTGAGTGTTTGGTTATTGACTTAAATTTTGGTATATTCCTCACACAAAGCTATTTAATGACTGTGGATGACTTGAAATGTAGCTACTTTTCTTGTGCTTTTGTGGTACTTTTTTCTTTCTTTCTTTTTTCTCTTTGGAGACTGACAGCTCCTTGCAGATGTTTGTGGCTTAGGTGATTTTGCAGATCATCTCTTTTTGAGTTCCACAGAAGAATGATAGTTAGTCAGTAAATGATAACAGAATCTTAATTTTTTTGGTGAACTGCTCCTTAAAGGACATTTGCAGTGGCAAAAGTTTCTCAATGCATCAGCCAACAGATTCTTGTAAAGTTCAGATATATGTGAGAAATGCTGCAACGTTCTTTATAGGCCTCTGTCATCTCTGAGGTGTCCTCTGACCCACACACATGCTGAATTCTACTAAAAGATCTTGTTTGAGCTGAGGTAACTCCGAGTTGAACTCACTCACTGAGCTGAAGAAAAACTCAAATAAACCCTTCTCTCTTTTCCTTTCTCTCTGTCTCCTTCCTTTATATCTCTCAGCCAGCACCGCCTGCTGTCATCTGGCAGGCTTATCCTCTAACATGCCTCCATATGTTTTTTCCTGTGTAAATGGCTGTGGCTTACAGTGGGCTAATTTCAGAAGGGTGGCAAGAAGGCTTTGGGTACTAAGGTGAACTCAGCAGAAAATTGCATGTCTGGCAAGCAGAGAAAAAAAGAGTGCACAGTGCGAACACTTCCTAGCTCACAGCAGGCTTAAAGGGATAAGACAGAGGGAGGTGTTTAGAGGAAGGTCCAAGTTGTTATTTTTCTCACAGTAAAATGTAACCATGGCTTTCTCTGTATAAATTCTGATAGAGAATACAGGAACATTTCCTTTGGTGTTTCATTCAAGAATGAAAGTCTCATGGTTTGAAATGACAAATGAGTGAGCGAATAATGCCAGAATTTAAATTGTGGGGGTAATGCTGAAATAATTTGTAATAATAATAATTCTAATAATTGAAAATGTTATCGATTTGACTTCTTATAAGTTTCATTTTAGGAATGTAATTTTTTATATATTGTAATGTTTATTTTTTTTAAGGAAATGCACATAATATATAGCATAGATTACCATTTAAAAGTTTTGGGTCAGTACAATTTTTTTAAAGAAATTAATACTTGCATTAAGCAAGGATTAAATTTATCAAAATTGACAATAAATAATTTTACGTTGTTACAAAAGATTTCTATTTCAAATAAATACTGTTCTTTTGAATTTTCTATTCATCCTAGAATATTTGATAAAATGTGTCACCGTTTCCATAAAATATTAAGTAGCACAACTGTTTTCCACATTAATAATCAAATGTTTTGGTCACACTTTATTTTAAAGTCCAATTCTTGCTATTAACAAACCATTAACTACACATTTTGCCTCAATAAACTCCTAATTTGCTGCGTATTAATAGTTAGTAAGGTAGTTGATAGTTTAGGTATCGGGTAGGATTAGGGCTTTCAAAAAACACACACAAAAAAATCTTACCAACCTAAACTTTTGAATGGTATAGATTCTGTATTTATTTACATAGCCTTCAGTTTGCTCCTTGTTTGAAGCACAATAGTGGGCAGGATAATATAAACAATGGGCATTTTTATTTAAATAACTGAAGAAATAATCAATAGACTAATTATTAAAATGATTTTTAGTTACAGCCCTATTTTTGAGTAAACTATCACTTTAAGAAATCCTCCTCTGTGTTTATGAAGAGACTACAGTCAAATGGCCGCGTCTCCATAGGTGAAGCATAATGAGGCTTCTGATCAGATGGCTCCAGCAGCGATTGGACACCGACGGTCCTGTGTTTCTCACCTCCCGCTATGAGCAGCAGTATAATAGGGAGCGGCCACTCAGTACGTCCTCCCAGCGCACCCCAGACCGAGCGCAGAGCGATCAATCAGAGCTGTGCTCTTCAGGATAATAACCTTGCCCTATCAGTCTGCCTCAGACCTGTTTACTGCAAACGCAAATAAATGACGTGACCTTCACCTTCAGAGCCATTTCACTGAGGGCTTTTTCTCCAGGAGGGTTGTGTGAATGAGAGGTGTCATATTGTGTGGTCTGTGTGTGTTTGAAACAAGGGCTGGTAAAACTCTGTGTCTCCGGGCTACATGACAATTCCTTTAAGTGGCGACTGTGGTGGCTACCCAGCCTCCTTCACTCTCCCACTATCTCCCTTTTCTCTCAATCTCTATAGAACAGATGAACCTTGAGTCCACAGTAAAACTCCTTGTTCCCTAAAATTGGAGCAAGACGTGTGTTACAGCATTAGTACTTAACAGGGCGTGAAATAGCAGCCTGGCTTCCTGACGTCTCCCCATCACTTCAGGTGAGAGTGTAGACGATGAGATAGATGAGCATCCCCCCTTCCTCCTCTTGATCATTCCCACAATGCAATAGGGCCACCAGAAAAAGGCATGTCCGTTACTGGCTATCTAGTTCCTCTTCAGGAACTCGAGCTGCGTCGAGAACACTAGCGCTGCGTCCGAAATCGCATACTGCTTAGTAGGTACTACATTTAAATTTGAACGTACTACTCGACCGTTAAAACAGTACGTTCTATATAGTATGAATGCGAGTAGTATGAATGGAATTCGGACGTACTACATCCGCCATGTTGATGTTGTCACGTGACATGCTTCTTCACAACAGCGCCAAAATTTAAAGAGCCCTCACTACTGCGCGAACATCAGCAATGTTTTACGCAATTCTTACCGTTTTCATCAGCGTTTTAACGTCCTGGTTGTAGCTGACATCTTCCTCCTCTGACCCTCAGCTACAAAGGCCTAATCAGGAAGTCAACCACCCGTGATCCCAGTACACAGCAGACTCGTTTATATTCATAATAATTCCTGGCTACCTAACCACTTTCAAGGATAGCCGTTTTGTATTTCTATTACAAGGCTTTTTAGCACCATCAATTCAATGGGTGAATCTGATGAATGCTGTAGCAGGAAAAGTGCTGAAAAGTGGAAAAGTTAAGTGTGACATACACAGGTAGCTGATCTCAACTCTTTGTGTCTGTGCTGTAAATTCTGGCTGACTTGAGGGATCATCACAGTTCAGTTTGAATTTGTGTGGCATTTTTTTACAATGCATTGTTCCTAAGTTCCAAAGCAGCTTGACAGGAAATTGAGAAATAAATAAGAAAAGAAAATAGTGCTTTACAAGCCCCTAGTAACAAGAAAAGCTCCCTATGATTTTTATTTTATTTTTATATTTTTGGATTTGACATCTGGGCTTAGGTTAAAACCTCAGACATCTTGTAAGGACATAAGGGGGTTATCCTAGCTTGACAGTCATGTATTATAATTTTTTCAAGCACACAAACTTTTTTTTTTATCA